TTATCCGTCCCTGCAAGATAGGATTTTTATCCCATTCTAAGCAACATTATTAATCTTATCCGTCCCTGCAAGATCAGATTTTTATCCCATTCTAAATAACATTATTAACCTTATCCGTCCCTGCAAGATCAGATTTTTATCCCATTCTAAGCTACATTTTTACCCTTATCCGTCCTTGCAAGATAGGATTTTTATCCCATTCTAAGCAACATTGTTAATCTTATCCGTCCCTGCAAGATAGGATTTTTATCTCATTCTAAGTAACATTATTAATCTTATCCCTCCCTGCAAGATCAGATTTTATCCCATTCTAAGCAACATTATTAATCTTATCCCTCCCTGCAAGATAGGATTTTTATCCCATTCTAAGCAACATTATTAACCTTATCCGTCCCTGCAAGATCAGATTTTATCCCATTCTAGGCAACATTATTGATCTTATCCCTCCCTGGGATTTTTATCCCATTCTAAGCAACATTATTAACCTTATCCGTCCCTGCAAGATCAGATTTTATCCCATTCTAGGCAACATTATTGATCTTATCCCTCCCTGCAAGATAGGATTTTTATCCCATTCTAAGCAACATTATTAACCTTATCCGTCCATGCAAGATAGGATTTTATCCCATTCTAAGCAATATTATTAATCTGATCCGTCTCTGCAAGATAGAATTTTATAGATAGATATAATAGATAGATACTGTAGTCCAATCTGTCAGAAGCTTGACTGGAAAGTACATAAGAAGGAATGCTTTCTCCGTCCTGGAATGGAGAATACAGATGATGAGGTTGATTAGATGAAGACTGAGTCCTGTTATACCAGGAACCTTGAGTTCCTTGACTTCCTGGATCCTCCTTACTCTGAATTCATGGAATTATCTCACTCTATCCGAATATTATTCTTTGTAAATTATCAATATGTTTAAATCCTATTATTATTATTTGTATGTCATAGTTTTCCATGTAAATTCATGTAGTTAATATGGTTATTATGTCAAAATGTAAGAGGACAATGTAATTCAATAGTTTGTTTATTTTCAGATTTAGAATTTAAATGTAGATTTTGATAAATCAGATTACTTGATATTGAGTTTGTTACAAAGGTAAGTTGAAAACTAGATGGAACTTGTTATTCATTATAATTACAAATATCTATTCATTCATTCTTGCTTATTAATGAGTTTGTTTTCCAAACTTTGATTTAATTATTATAGGTACATATGTTTATATCAAATCAAATGTTTAGTTACATAGATCGTGTTATGTGTAAATTTTAAAAAAATCGAATTTTCTTTTTTNGATAGGATTTTTATCCAATTCTAAGCAACATTATTAATCTGATCCGTCTCTGCTAGATAGAATTTTTATCCCTTTCTAAGCATCATTATGAACCTTATACATCCCTGCAAGATAGGATTTTTATCCCATTCTATGAGAATCCTGTGAGAAACTGAGAAGTATGTTGATAGCACCTAGGGGGAATCCTGGGAGAACCTGAGAAGAATATTGGTAGAACCTAGGGGGAATCCTGGTAGAACCTGGGGGGGGATCCCGGGAGAACCTGGAGGGAATCCTGGGAGAACCTGAGAAGAATGTTGGTAGAACCTGGAGGTAAGCTTTGGAGAATCTGGGGGGAATTAATGGGAGAACCAGAAGAGAGTCCCGTGAGAACCTGAAAAGATTGTTGGTAGAACCTGGGGGGAATCCTGGGAGAACCAGAGCAATGCACCAGGTATAAGCTGAGATGATACTGTAGTCCAATCTGTCAGAAACTTGACTGGAAACTACACAAGAAGGAATGCTTTCTCCGTCTTGGAATGGAGAATACAGATGATGAGGTGGATTAGATGAAGACTGAGTCCTGTTATACCAGGTACCTTGAGATCCTGGTCTTCTTGGATCCTCCTTACTCTAAATTCATGGAATTATCTCACTCTATCCAAATATTATTCTTTGTAAATTATCAATATGTTAAAATCCTCCTATTATTATTATTTGTATGTCATAGTTGTCCATGTAAATTCATGTAGTTAATATGGTTATTATGTCAAAATGTAAGAGGACAATGTAATTCAATAGTTTGTTTATTTTCAGGTTTAGAATTTAAATGTAGATTTTGATAAATCAGATTACTTGATATTGAGTTTGTTACAAAGGTAAGTTGAAAACTAGATGGAACTTGTTATTCATTATAATTACAAATATCTATTCATTCATTCTTGCTTATTAATGAGTTTGTTTTCCAAACTTTGATTTAATTATTATAGGTACATATGTTTATATCAAATCAAATGTTTAGTTACATAGATCGTGTTATGTTTAAATTTTAAAAAAATCGAATTTTCTTTTTTAATAGTTTTTAATTAGAATATCAACTGGTATAATAAATTTAACAAATATAGTTATTTGAAAACTGTACATCTTATTTTACTTCTCTCTTTACTGATGGGTCTGGTTTCCTTAAATCCTTTAGTAATCTATGTCAAGCAAACTTTTTTATATATATAAAGAAATGTATTTAATATTGGATGTTACTGTGTTTTTGTCACAAACTGTGATTTTCAAATATCTTTGAAACCCAATTGTTTTAGAACTTTGCCATTTCAAACTATGAATTCCGTTAATCAAATAATCTTAGTTTGATATATCAAAGGTTTACAATATCAGGCTGCATAGAAATAGGGATTACAAAATTTCAGTTTGTAGCACAAAACTCAGTTCATTTCTTTTCACTACTTTTGATGCCATTTTTTGACAGAGGTATAGATTTTAGAATAAATCAGAAAAACTACTCTGAATCACTCATTTTTATGTTACACTAGCTGAAGTGATAGGCATTGCCTGTACTATTTTAAAAAAGTCAAATTTTTATTTTCATAGGATTAACCTATGAGTTCAGGTTTGTCCTTGACTGGGATGAATGTGAGCTAGCAATCCGTCCTCCCTTCATGAAGAGCCGACCTTTTAGTCACAGGAAAGCTATAAAATACTACAACATGGCTGCAGAAGAGAACTCTATTGAGGCAAGTGCTGGTATTGTAAGGGCTCTTGGTACACAGATTGATAATGGAAGAGCCATGATAGATCATCTTTACAAATCTTCTAAGTTCAAGTTATCTAAAGAACTTCTAAGCAGTAATAGTTTCTCTGAGCTGCGTATTACCCAAGATGAGATCAAGAAGAAATGTCAGGAAGGAGAAGTACTCTCCGTGAATGGTATATCAGGAGTAATGTTGTTTAGATTGAATCTTGTTAACTCTACATCCTCTGTAATTGATATAGCATCACTACCAACATTCATTGTGGAGACTCTTTCTATGATAAAGGCATGTAAACAATGTTTATTACTTTGTTACTCCTATAATCTACTGATTGGGGTTCAAGATTTTCCAAGATCTGTTCACAACACTATCTTTGTGCAGAAGTCTAATGATGGAGAGAATAAGACCAAATTAGGGATTGATCCTGGAGTAAGGATGGATGCTAAGGCTGTATTTGATCAAGGATATTTACAGAGACTGTACCATGATCAGCCAATGTATCACTGTGAGCATGGTGTTATGAGTATTGGGAACACCTGCACTCAATGTGCTCAGCTGGCTCTGGAAAGAATTCTGAGTGTTTATGAGAACAGTTTTCTCTTCAGTAAAGATGAATCAACTAAAGGTTTAGTCTACAGTGTTATCTTTACCCTGGAGTCAGGATTGAAGAAACAAGACTACTTCTGGAATTATGGAAAATATGAGATCATAACTGCTATCCGTGTCATGGCTCTTCAGCCCCTGGATCTACATCCTCTACAGCTTGCTAAGGATCCTGGCATATACTGGCCAATTGTTCACTACTATGGGTCTGTGTACTCTGCGTTGAAGGAAATCCTGGATGGAAAGATGGTTGACAGTATCTATGAGAACATCCCGGAGTTTACTCCTGTGCCAGAGAGAATTAATATAGTTGATGAGGAACAGTTTTTGATCAAATGTCGACACAACTCCTGTGTTCATCTTGACTGGGAGTTTAAGTTCAAGCAGTGCTCTAAGTGTAACCTGAGACGATACTGTAGTCCAAGCTGTCAGAAGCTTGACTGGAAAGTACACAAGAAGCAATGCTTTCTCCGTCCTGGAATGGAGAATACGGATGATGAGGTGGATTAGGAGTTATAAAGAACAGACCTGTTATACCAGGTACCTTGAGTTCCTGGATCCTCCTTACTCTGAATTTATGGAATTATCTCAGTATCCAGATATTGTTCTTTGAAAATTATCCAATTGTTTAAATCCTCTATATTTCTAGTTATTTGTTTATCATAGTTTTTCTTGTAAGTTTGATAATAATATTCAAGAAATCTAGAATTAAGTGTGTTTTCTTTCGTTCGTAAGATTTAATTTGGATTAAGTTTTATCAGTGAGACTGCCCTGAATTATATTGTTGTATATCTATTATCCATGGTAATTTCTGAATTATTGTCTCATTATAGGTTGAACGAAATGTTTTTTAGAGTAAATATTTTTTTTTTAAAGAAAATGAAGAAATGCAAATGGAGAAAATTCCAAGACGGGTTTCAGATGATGAGTTGAAACTGAATATAGTTCAGACAACTTAAACCTGGAATAGGATCTAAGAATGTAATAGGATGTAGAGGATCTAGGACTTGAATAGGATGGAGAGGATCTAACACTGGAATAAGATAGAGAGGATTTAAGACTGGAATAGTATGATGAGGATCTAACACTGGAATAGGATGGAGAGGATCTAAGACTGGAATAGTATGAAGAGGATCTAACACTGGAATAGGATGGAGAGATTCTAAGACTAGAAAATATTTTTTGTTTCTCTCTCATCCTGTACTTGGTACTGAGGATGCACCTTGCTAAGACCCATAGGTCTTGCTTGGTCTAGCTTAAGTTGCTCTGCATTTGAAACCATAATGATTTAGATGTTTAAGGTCATATTTAAAATCCTACGATCAAAAGTTTTATTTAAGTCCAGAAATATGTGTTAAATCCGGTTTTTAAGGTTTTTATAGATTTTAGTCAGACAAATAGTCAAAGAGATGTTGAATTATCTTATGTTTTGGTCTAACTCCATATTAGTGCTGGTAAAAGATATTGAACATATTAAAATGTTTAAAATATATATTGTAGCTTTGTTTTCAAATAGTTTACTCAATGTTAGGGGAATACTTATGGGTCTGTAATAATTGATGTATCTTATTTGTCAGCCTAAAGATCGGTTTAATCTTTACCTATTTCTTCTCTCTATTAAGGAATGTATGATAAATTAAGTGTGCTTTATTATAACTAACAAATAAATAATTTATTTCAATAGCTTGGTAGAAATATGCTGTCAATACTCAAGCTGTTCTTGGGTTATAGCTTATTTAATAGATTTCAAACCTAACATTTATTTCTGAACTATATTTATAGACAACCTGACAAACCTAACATTTATTTCTGAACTATAACAATAGACAACCTGAGAAAACTAATATTTCTGAACTATAACTATAGACAACCTTACAAAGCTAACATTTGCTTCTGAACTACAACTATAGACAACCTGACAAAACTAACATTTGTTTCTGAACTATAACTATAGACAATCTGACAAAACTAACATATGTTTCTGAACTATAACTAAAGACAACCTGACAAAACTAACATTTGTTTCTGAATTATAACTATAGACAACCTGACAAACCTAACATTTGTTTCTGAACTATAACTATAGACAACCTGACAAAACTAATATTATTTCTGAACTATAACTATAGACAACCTTATAAAACTAACATATGTTTCTGAACTATAACTATAGACAACCTGACAAAACTAACATTTGTTTCTGAATTATAACTATAGACAACCTGACAAACCTAACATTTGTTTCTGAATTATAACTATAGACAACCTGACAAAACTAACATTTGTAGACAACCTGACAAAACTAACATATGTTTCTAAAACAATAACTATAGACAACCTGGCAAAACTAACATTTGCTTCTGATCTATAACTATAGACAAGCTGACAAAACTAACATTTGTTTCTGAACTATAACTATAGACAAGCTGACAAAACTAATATTTGTTTCTGAACAATAACTATAGACAACCTGACAAAACTAACGTATGTTTCTGAACTATAACTATAGACAACCTGACAAAACTAACATTCTGAACTATAACTATAGACAACCTGACAAAACTAACATTTGCTTCTGAACTATAACTATAGACAACTTGACAAAACTAACATTTGTTTCTGATCTATAACTATAGACAAGCTGACAAAACTAACGTATGTTTCTGAACTATAACTATAGACAACCTGACAAAACTAACATTTGCTTCTGAACTATAACTATAGACAACTTGACAAAACTAACATTTGTTTCTGATCTATAACTATAGACAAGCTGACAAAACTAACGTATGTTTCTGAACTATAACTATAGACAAGCTGACAAAACTAACATTTGTTTCTGAATTATAACTTTAAACAACCTCACAAAACTAACATATGTTTCTGAACTATAACTATAGACAACCTGACAAAACTAACATTTATTTCTGAACTAGAACTACACTGTATCTTTATCTTGGTGAAAAAAAACTATTAAAAATCGCTTTCTTTTAGAAGAAACAGACTCAGAACGGAGGTCGCTTAGTAACGTAGTAAAAGTCTGAAAATTAAAGGATTTTTAATCACTAACTTACGGATTAAAAATCTTCAACTTGGCGAAATAACGGATTATTAATCTGAAGTTTCTCTGACGAGCTGTACGCACGGACAATTTATCCGTTATTTCACGAAGTAAGCGATTTATAATCTGCGACTTTTGTTTTTCCGAAGATTTAAAATCACTGACAAATAATCGCTTTCTTTCTCAAGTAAACGATTTTTAATCCGTTATAAATTTCTGGTTACAATGCGTCCTGTTATTCCCTATACTAGAACTTAACGACAAAACATTCATTTAATTATAGTTTAAATTAGTTTAGTAAGGGTTTCTCTCTCAATTTCTCGTCTGCACACTCACGGTAATAAATGAAAACCTTATTCTAAACAAGATAAAAAGTTGGCGAAGTTAACGATTTTTTATCTGCGATAAATTATCTGACAAATTATCGCTTTCTTTTTCAAATTAACGATTTTTTTTGGTTTGTAATCAGAATCGTACTTAGTGGGTGGGGACAGAACCTTGTCCATCGTCTCCTTAATAATAACAGTCTCCACATATTTAACTGTGGAAATCTTGACATTCTTGACTAGGATTGGATTTCCTGCGGACACTGCTTTAAAGTTTTTCCCCATTTCGATTTTATTTCTGAAATTATAATTTTAAAATAAAACTGTGCTGAACAAACTTGCATTTAAAAACAATTATCATAAATATAAGCTCTACTGATTTAAGGAAATATAATATTTAACCGGGTCCGTCCTAGTATACGAACAAAATATCCTTTTACATGTATAATTGATTTAAAACCCTTCTTGAGAGGACTGTAAGTGTAATTTCATGTGACCCTCCATGCAAAGATGACAATGCCAATTCCCAGTGGTACCTTGAAACCTTTATCAGATCATAAATGTGGAACAGATCATTTTTCTAGGTTTATAAGTTTTAATTCAGACAAATCTGTTTTCCTGCAAGAGAAGAGCAAGTCACTTATGTTGTGAAATAACAATATAAAATGATCAAATTTAGGAGTTAAAAACATTGATGTTATATGTTAATAACAAGTTTTTAAGGGTACTGTCGTGAAAAGGGCTTATGTGGTTGGAGCTTTACTTGAAAGTATGCTTATACAGTTCGTTCAACACTAGTTTTCATGAATCCATTTCAAAAAAAGTCAGAAAATTTCATTAAATTCAACCCGTCAAGATAATATTAATTGTGCAGCTGAAGTTCTTTAAATTATGAGTTATTAAAGATTTCATCCTTGAAATGATACAATTTGCAAATGGGAACAGTATGTAATCAGTTGGAAAAATATTAAATCAAAAATAAAATAAAGTCAGCAAAATCTTTCCTTGTTAAATTCCTCAACGAACTACCTAAATGAAATTGTTGATAAATGTTATGCAATTCTTTTTTCCATTAATTCTCTCGATTTCTAAATGAAAGAAAGGGACTGTAGATTTAATATCATTTTTCATTTTAATTCATTTTAATATGCATTAATATTCTTCATTTTTTCTGAAAAATTGATTGATTTCTATTGTGGTATTACCATTAAGTGATTTGTTGATTTCTATTTAAGAAACCATGGAGGAATTTGTCAGAATTAAACTCTTTGCTAGAGCTACAAGATGAATTCATGGACTAGATAAAGTGTAGGAGGGTACTGTTGTGAATCAGGTATGATTATCAACAAAAAATAGATGAATATTAAAAATTGATGATTTTATAATAATTTTATAAATATGAACAAAATGTGATTTAAATTAACCCAATAAAGGCTTGAGGCCGGTGTGAATTAATGTATAGCCTGGGGGCGTCCCACCCCCCCCCCCCCCCTAAAAAAAGATCTTAGAGATTAGTTATAGGGTTAAAACTTGTGTTCCTATAGCCAAATTTTTCAAGGACGACCTCATTGAAAATTAGATTAATAACTTTAATAGTTTGGGTGCTAGAGAGGGTGGAACAAAATGAAAAAATGACAAAAAAGGATGAAAAAATGTAAAATGTATATATATATTTTTCCACAAATATCAAAGTGTGATACATGTTTCTTATCCATTTTTTAAGAGCTTTTTAAAAAAATAGTTTTTAGATCTGTAGCGTTACAAAATAGTAATGTGCTAGTTTAGATTTCTTTACAAAAACCAGACTTATTACCGCCCTGCACCTTACCTATGCATTAAAAAAAATATTTTTTTACAACAAATTCTTACTATTCATTTAGAATTTAGAGTTATGATGTCATTTTTTCATTATTTACAAGATGGGCTTTTTCCTCAAGAATTTAAAAGAAGTAGCGAGGCTTTAGAGATAGTAAATCATACAAAAACAGATGATATGTAAAATGAAAATTTTTAAACTTCTAAGTTGGGTTTAATTAAGTTTGAGTGCAATCAGTATTAAAATTGATAATTAGTGGGCTAAAGATTTATAATTCTCTAAAATGATATAAAACATTGTTCCCAGTCAAAATTTAAGGATTTTATGACAATTGTGGTAAAATAAATAACAAGATGTCCTATACATGGTTTTTAAAAACGATCGTTTAGCTAAATGATCGTTTTTAAAAAGCTTGCCGTATTGCTAATGATTGTTACCTCTACAGGCATTTAATTTAAGGCAATTTTGATTTTTCAAATGCTTATAGATTTTTCATTTCTGAAGATATATGAATAAATAAGCACATTTTAGAACCATTATACTATACAGAAATTAGAAAAAGTTAAAATAACATTTTTTAAGTTGGCAAGATGGCGGTCTTAACCCTAAACAGGCTGGGGGGAGGGGGGGGGTTGGAGCCTCACCCCCTGTACTTTGTTTTGTCCTAGCACTCTCATATTTGACATTATCACCGTGAAATTTGTTGACTTTTAATGAATCGTAAGCACTTGAAAAATTAATGTAGAAACATGTGTCACATTTTGATATTTGTTTAAAACAAAATTTTGTTAAAAACTTTTTTGACTCTTTTTATGCATTTTAAACCTCCATAGCTCGTAATGTTTTCAACGAAACGGAATTGCGCGCGATTCCGGCCAACTTTTATGCGTTTGAGTTTTAACTATTTGATAATATTCAATTTAAACCTTATGGCATGCCACGCAATAAATGCAATTAATTATTGCGCAATTCCTTTCATCAACAAAAAATTCAATCTAAACTCTGGTAGTGGCATACACTAAACTGAGCCGCACTAACATTTTAGTCTCAAATGCTAAGAAAATTGAATTTAAGCTTAATCTTTTGTTTTATAATACATCATCTGCAGCATGATAACCAGAAAAAATTTTAGACTCAAGCAGACCAATGAAATAAGTGATTTAATAAGATACTAATTAATCATCTTAAATTGAAATGAACTTAAAAATTTGAAAACTGTTGAAACAATTGTGAAACTTGGGCCTCGATCATTTAAAAATCAACAGAGATATTTCCATTCTTGTATCTGCTACATAAATTTTTAAGTCGAACAGTTAAAAATATTGATTTTTAGATGGAAAAGCAATTCCGTTGCACGCAATTCCCCGCAATTACGCGAATATTTAGTTGCTTCTTTTTTCACCAATATAGCGCAATTGCGCGCAATTGTAAAATACTTTTACAAGGCCGCCCTAACCGCCCTGGCCTGTACACTAACTGCCCTGTACCTTAACCAGAGCATTAAATGTAGGGGGAGGGGGCATCAACCCCCCCCCCCTACATTTAGGGTTAGAAAGGGGAGGTGGGAAACCCCCATTAGCTTGGAGAAGCTCTGATAATGAAAGTTTTTAAAAATTAACGAAAAGGTTTTTCAAAGAGTTAACAAGGGAGGGAAATAACCATTCTTTTGTTCTTTTCTCTTCTTAAAATTAAATGAAACTTGCAGAAAATAAAAGTTAATCTTTTATGTATTTTGATGTTTTCAAGAATTGTCTTCTGATTTTTCCCTTGCTGATTGTTGAATATAGAATTATATGCTTTTTAGGTTTTTTTCTTTCAGCTATTTTTACATAAAATGAGGCTGTTGAAAAAGTCCAGTAAAGTGAAGGTTTATCAAATATGTCACTTTATAACACGAATATACACTATACAGCCTAAATGACTAAATGTCAATAAAAAAAGCTGCACATTTGTGACTTATTTAACAAGTGGTTATACAGTCTTTGAATCCTAAATTAAATCTTAAAGGCCTTTTTGCACCTGATCCAAGCTGTTGAATGTCACAGACAGCCACTGAATCAAATCCTAATTCATATTAAATTTTTTGATTGGAATAATGTCAAGTCATATTAACTTATTCCCTAGCTGTGGGTTAATTAAAAAAAACTTGATAAGAATGTTTGATCTATTAGAATAAAGACAATTATAAATCAATGGCCAAATTTTATTTCTCCAATTAATGTGTAGTAATTAATTCAAGTAAGACCATTAACGTACAGGTGGTACAGTTGAGTTGTGATGAACAGAGTGAGCAGATCCATCTCCAGTAGTATCCTTAGGTCTGGGGTGCTTGGTTGGGCGCGTGGTGTAAGTCACGTTCAATTCTTCTTCCTCTTCTTCAATTTCCTTGTGCTGGAGATTTTCCATCAGTTTTTTGATCATTTTGTCATTTATTTTTCCACAGTCCTGAGTTGGGTATCCATCTTCCATTTCTTCTGATGATTCCTCTTGCTCGAAACAGTAGTAAACTCCATTCCTACTGTAGAGGCATCCATCATCACAAGCCGGTTCCATAGCCTAGATAATCCATCTATACATGTGTAGGTTGTTTTTTTCTAACAAAATTTTTAACTTTTACTTAATTATTATACTTACAGACTCTAGTTTATAAGATCCAGCTTTAGGTCCCTTGAGAATATTCTTGCAAGGAGGACACATCTTTCCTAAACATCAAATTGAATTCAATTTTTGTCATCAAGTTTTAAAATTAGGAAAGAACTGCTAAGTTTTTAATTTGGTAATCATCAAGAGACCCATTTTACAAAAAATCTTAACAGACAGTTTTGAAAATTGAACAAAAACAAAATCTTTGATGAAAGTTTTAGTTATGAAAGAACAATAAAATAAGTTTACCTGTAATTTAAACAACCAATACCAAATAGATTTAAATAATTATTACAATGCTAAGTGCTAGGTATAACTAACAAAATTTAATAATTAAGGGGATAATAAACTTAATGTCATCTCTTACCCATTGCCATTTTAAGTCTAAAACTTTCCATATCCATGTCATTTAAACCTCCCATACAACCCATATCTGGCTTTGGCATTGGTTTTCTGGTTGGCTTATGATCAATCATGTCAATTGGAGACATGGATTCATGTCCTGGACCGGTTCCAAGTCCAGTTAAGGCAATATTTTCAACTGTATATTCCATAATATCATCTTGGGTAAAGGCACTCACATCAGATCCAGTGCTTGAGACGTCTTCAGACAGAACAACCTGAATTTTTATTTAAATAAATAAGATTAGTTTACCCAAGCTGGTTCACCCTGACCTCCATTATTGAAAGCTCTTGATATGCAAAATTACTAAATTACTTTTTCAATGTTCAAACAATTGCTTGCTTACACAATGCCAAGTTTGGATCCTGAGATAAAATATAAGCAAAAAGTATGCATGTTAAAACAACAGGTTTTTTGTTTTTTTTCTATTTTTTTTTTAATTATAATATTTCAAAGATTAATAAAAGAAAACTTTAACCAAATACAGTTTTGAAGTGAGGGAAAGGAACTGAGTTTTTGCGACAAACTTTAAAAATATAATCCCTTTATTTCTCCTACCTAAAGATGTTAACCTTTGATATTTCAAACTAAGATTATTTGATCTAACATAATACATATTCTGAAATATCAAAGGTCTACAGCATTGGGTTCCAAAGATATAGTGATTAGAAAATAAAAGTTTTTACTCATTAAATTAAATTTCTCAAAGTTAAAGGTTAAAAATCAAGTTACTCATTGTGGTTCAGCAGTATCCCAACCAGGAGCTTTAGTTTAAAGATAAAGATAACCTGGATTGTTAGAGAAAGGAGGAGGAAGGTCTTCATGTTGTTTCGTGGCTAAGCTTCAAGCTTAGACTGATTTTAACCCACCAGGTTCCTGCAATTTACCTCTTTGAAACAAGTGTAGATGACCTTGAAGCCTAACTATTTAGAATATTTTCATATTTTAAAAGTAGAGATGAATGCTAGAGAATTGTAACAGATGTGGTTTTATTAGAAAAATATATTTTTTCTGAAAATATCAAAGTAGTTCTAAATAAATATCAATTCAATAGATAAAAATCAATTTTAAAATCCTAAAATGTAGCTTCTTTCTTTCCCCAGATATATCTCTGAAACCTGAATTTACTTTAAAAAGATTAACCTCAATGAGAAGGAGAAAAGACTTAGCCAGGATGTGAAATATAGGAAGGGGATTACCAATCAGAAGAACAGAGAGATAATAAAAAGTATTTTTATTTATTCAAAGTTCTGATTTTCTATCCATCAGTAAAGACGTTTTTCCAGATAATAACCCGTAATAGTCATATATAAATTCTTATTTTTCATGAATACCTTAGAACTAGGGTTTCCATGCACAATAACGTTTTATTCAATTTCGGTACAGTTTGATAAAATTTTGTTCCAAAATTCCTGTACTACTAATAACACATATATTTTAAAGTTAATTATCAAAAAACTAGCCTTTGAGAAAATGTACAGCTATGGCTACACATGCGGTAAATTTTAGCGCAATGATGTGCTTAACAGAGAAAAATGGAAAATACGATTTCTTGTTGTAGCATGCAACAAGATGAATTTTATATTTGAACAAATAAATTAACCAGCTATGCATCCATATAATTCCCAAAATAGCTGATTTTCTCGATCCCAAAATAATTTTTTGCCCCCGACTTTCAAAAAAATGTCCCCAATTAAAAAACATTTTCGAATTCCACTAACAAATTTACCCCCATTACCCCCAATTTAAAAAAATGCCCCCAATTAAAAAATATTTTCAAATTCCACTAACACATTTGCCTTTATTGCCCCCAACTTAAAAAAAAAATGCCCCGAATTAAAAAAAAATTTCAAATTCCACTAACACATTTGCCCCCATTTTCCCCCAATTTAAAAAAAAATGCCCCTAATTAAAAACATTTTTTCAAATTCCACTATTACATTTTCCCCCAATTTAAAAAAAAATGCCCCCATAATAAAAAACATTTTTAAATTCCACTAACACATTTGCCCCCATTGCCCCCAATTTAAAAAAAATGCCCCGAATTAAAAAAAAATTTTAAATTCCTCAAACACATTTGTCCCAATTTGTCCCCAATTTAAAAAAAAATGTCCCTATTTAAAACATTTTTTCAAATTCCACTAATACATTTTCCTCCAATTTAAAAATAAATGCCCCCAATTAAAAACATTTTTTCAAATTCCACTAATACATTTGCCACCAATTAAAAAAAAACATTGTTAAATTCCACTAACACATTTTCCCCCATTTGCCCCCAATTTAAAAAAATGCCCCCAATTAAAATAAAATTCCAAATTCAACTAAAACATTTGCACCCGATTATAAAAAAATGCACCCAATTACATAAAATGTCAATTAAAAAAAACATTTTCAAATTCCACTAACACATTTGCCACCAATTGCCCCAAATTGGGAAAAAAATTGCCCCCAATTGTAAAATTTTTACGTAACATAAACCGTAAAATTTCCAGTTTCCATTTTGTAAACCGGAAATTTTGACACAATATAAGACATAGAAAGCAATGTTAAAACATTGAAAGTTAAAAGTTATTAGTTGACATACATTAAATACGCATTTAGTTCTACAATTATATATTCACAAATATTTCACTTTAGTTCATCATAACTATTTTACAGTTACAGTTTTCACTGATGCTATCCCATTTGAACTACTGCACGCGGTACCACGTGAATAGTTGAAATGAACAATAGTTCAAACGAGTAAATATATTGCTCATTTGAACTATTTTTCAGTTCATTTGAATCATTTGAACTATTGATATTATAAATGAAATACATAAGAAAATAGTTTAAACGGACATAAAAATAGTTCAAATGGACGTAAAAATAGTTCAAATGAACAAAAAAATAGTTCAAATGAACAAAGAAATAGTTCAAATGAACAAAAAAATAGTTCAAATGGACATAAAAATAGTTCAAATGGACATAAAAATAGTTCAAATGGATTTAAAAATATTTCAAATGGGCAAAAAATAGTTCAAATGGACAAAAAATAGTTGAAATGAAAAAAAATAGCTGAAATGAACAAAAACAATAGTTCAAATGAACAAAAAATTGACGAGCGGATTTTTGGTAATGTCAATTTGGTAATGATAATTTGGTAATGACAATTTAAGGTAAGCTCACAAAAGTGACAATTTGGTAATGACAAATTGGTAACGTCATAAAAGTGACAATTTGGTAATGACATTTTGGTAACTACAAAAAAGTTAAATTTAATTCAATTTAATGTTTAATAATTTGCTGTTTCTCACATTATTTAGGGTTATGGTTAGGTTAAGACAATTTCTGGGCTGAGCGCTGCAGCTAGGATGGGCTAGGGGGCCGAGCGCTGCGGCCTATTAAAAGTTTAATAATGAGCTGTTTCTCTCATTATTTTGGGGTAGGTAGGTTAAGCCAATTTCTGGGCCGAGCGCTGTGGCTAGGATGGACTAGGGGGCCGAGTGCTGCGGTTTATTAAATGTTAAATAATGTGCTGTCTTTCTCAATATTTTGAGTTAGGTTAGTTTAGGTTGAGACAATTTATGGGCCGAGAGCTGCGGCTAGGGTGGGCTAGGGGGTCGAGCGCTGCGGGCCATTAAATGTTAAATACTGTGCTGTTGCTCACATTATTTTGGGTTAGGTTAGGTTAAGACAATTTCTGGGCCGAGCGCTGCGGCTAGGATGGGCTAGGGGCCAAGCATTGCATCCTCTTAAATGTTAAATGTTGATTATAAAAGGGACAGTTTGGTAACTACATATAAAAAGTAACATTAATAACTTCCTAACATTGAAATATATAAAGTCCGTTCTTGTTGTAGTATTTAATTTCTTCTGAATCTTGTAACATTTTGCCACCCCTAGAAGGGGTGATGAATAAGTAATTCATGATCCAAGTCTCCTCTTCTTGCAGTATATGACACAAGTGCAGGTTGAAACGTGGTTTTTAGAAAATATTGCGAATTTTACAATTATTTTTGGCGCATTTCTTTTGTGCAGATATAAAACACTATTCCATAATGTTCCGTAATTCCAGAACAACGTCCCGGAAATTTCCGGTTTATGGGAAAAAATCGTTCCGGAAATCGTTCCGGAATTCCGGAACCTTTTCTATAATGGAAATGGAAAAAAATTCCGGATCATTTCTGTACGTAAACCGTAACCCGGAATTCCGGTGGAAATCCTAATAATTACTAGATCTGGTTTCTCTGTGGTCACAAGGAGGTGGGGGGAACAGTACCTCCCCCTGGAAGGGTATGGGACGGGATGTCGGCATACATCAAAAATCGGTCAGTATCTATTAATCCAGTAATATATTTAATAAGATTGTTGTGCCTCCAAGTATACTTTTTTGGTGAAGTGCAGCAACCTTGCAGCCATTCAAAATATGGTTTGTAGTTTCTTTAACTATAAGTGCAACTTCTAGAATTTTCTACGATCTTTTACAAATGTCTTTTTAGCCTTGAATTTTTATAATTTATGTGGGATAAAGTTTGGGTTCCCCGAGCCCGAGATATAAAAACTTCGACTCGAGCCGTAATTCATTAAACCCGACTTTAAAACCCAATCTTCAACCCAACTCTGACGACAGCTTGTGTCACAAGATTGACAGCTGCAATATCTTCGGCTCGATTTAAGGAGTTAGGCCCAATAAAAATAAAACCAACCTTGGTTGGTTTTAGTAGAGAATAAGGCTCAATGTTGAGAATTGTTCTCATAAAAACCCGGAATGCACCAATTCCTATCACGAAAATTTGCCAAATAGAATATCAAATCGGTTTTTTAAACTCAACTGTGGAAATAGATGCAGCTTGAATCCGAAAGCTCAAGCCGTAAAAAAGGCCCAACGACGCAGTGTTTTCCCAATTTTTTTAAATCGCGGGCTCAGGCTAAAGTATAATTATCTTTTGAATCATCTGTAATTAATCAGATAAATAGTTAGAATTAAAACTTGGAGAGTTTTACAACCCTACTCCCACTCCGATTTTACTTACAATTGTTATAATAAACCGTTCAGCCCCCAGATTAAAATCAGGTGTGGCTTGACATTGTGCTTTTCTCGTATTTTTCAAGCCAAATGGCTTTGTTACACCTTGTGGCAAGATATGAAACAAGATAAATGTTGTACAGATAAGTTACTAAGCTAGCATAGTGTTTTCCTGGGCTGAAGTTTTTATATTTTGATGGTCCTAAATCCTTTCCTTGTGACATGTAACTGTAAGTTGTAACAAAATTTGAGTCCAATTGGTTTAGCCGAAATTTGACGCTGCTAAATGCAAGCAAATTGCCAGAGCCTGCGATTTAAAAGGTTCGGCTCAAGTCTTAATTCCTTAAACGCAGCAATAAGACTCAATCTTAGACCCAACTCTGACAACCACTTGTGTCACGTGATTGACAGCTGCGAGATCTTAGGCTCGACTTAAGGAGTTAAGCCCAATGAAAATAAAACCGACCTTGGTTGGTTTTAGTGAAGAATAGGGCTCAATGTTGGATCTTGTTCTCATCAAAACCCGGAATGCGCCTATTCCAACTATGAAAATCCGCCAAATACAACATTAAACAGAGATGAAATTTAAAGTATTTGAGCCGTGGTTTAAATTCGCCAAAACCCGGTTTAAATTAAGCGCCGGCTTAAATCTTGAAACGTTTGATACAATTTTAAGTGGTACCAACCATATTTAAACCGCGCCTTAAATTTAAAATGCCGCTCAAATTCTTTAAATACGGCCACCGGTTTTATGAACTAAACTCTGTTGAAAAATAGATGCAACTTAAATCCAAAAGCCCGAGCTGTAAATAAGGCTCAACAACAGCTTAGACCTGAATCATATTTTTTTGAATTTTTTAAATTGCCGGCTCTGGACACCCAAACAAGCAAAATTATTACAGTTAGAATAGAAACTCTGCATAAGAAGTGCATTAGATGTCTAATATGAGACCATAGGAATAATAATACCCTTTTTTAAATGCATAGGATGCATAGATGCATAGTTTATATACATTTCATATATCGTTAATGTCATATATTCATATATACCATGAAACATTATGTATTTATTTATAACATAGATGCATAGATGCCTAGACTTATATAAAAAAATACATACAAGTTTATATACATAGGATGCATAGATGTATAGATGCAGAGACTTATATAAGAAATATATACAAGTTTATATATGGCTGCATAGGATGCATAGATGCATAGACTTATATAAGAAAGTACATACAAGTTTATATACGGATGCATAGGATGCATAGATGCATACACTTATATAAGAAATATATACAAGTTTATATATGGCTGCATAGGATGCATAGATGCATAGACTTATATAAGAAATATATACAAGTTTATATATGGCTGCATAGGATTCATCGATGCATAGATGCATAGACTTATATAAGAAAATACATGTTTATAAACGGCTGCATAGGATTCATAGATGCATAGATGCATAGTATGCATAGACTTATATAAGAAATATATACAAGTTTATATATGGCTGCATAGATGCATAGACTTATATAAGAAAGTACATACAAGTTTATATACGGCTGCATAGGATGCATAGATGCATAGATGCATAGACTTATATAAGAAAATATATACACGTTTATATACGGTTGCATAGGATGTTTAGATGCATAGACTTATATAAGAAAATACATGTTTATAAACGGCTGCATAGTAGGCATATACTTATAAAAGAAAATACATGCTTATAGACGGCTGCATAGAATGCATAGATGCATAGACTCTTATAAGAAAATACATACAAGTTTATATACTGCTGCAAAGGATGCATAGCATAGATGCGTAGACTTTTATAAGAAATATTATTATTCAAATCTTTATTGGGTCAAATGTGAGACAGAAATTAGCAATAATGATCACAATTAATTTAATAAGATTAAAACTATTTAGTTCAGATTAAGTAGCATTTCACTAAATAATATAATTAAAGACATTTGAGTTAAAAAGTTTTGTATTAATATTAGTATTAATAACAAATAATTCTCAAAAAAGACTAATATTAGGAATTATGAGATCAAAATCAGTAATGTAAAAAATTTTAAATCAAATAAAAATCTGTTGTAAAATAAACATTTTAATCACATGGGGCGACTAAAACTTTGTCAACTTTGGCCTGTGGTAATTTGGGCTTTAATCCATTTTCAAAACACCACTTGGTATAACGATTTCTTGCCTTCACAAGACTATGCAAAAAGAAATGATGATGTCGCTTGTTCATAGAGTTCAAAATCTTTTTGAATTTACCCAACCAGATAAAAGTATGTTCAGCTGACTCGGTATTGGGATGATCAAAAGTTTCCCGTAATTGTTGAACAACTTTTGGATAATTTTGCCTACTAGATTCTCTGACATGGTTCTAAAATTTAGACTTGGTCTACCAACCACTTAATTGTCTAACAATGTTTTCTTAAAATAAAGTTGTAAAATCAATATTTTAGATAAAGCTCATACGCAGTAACTGATTAGACTATTCTATTAAGTTAACTTGATATGCAGAGCATCTACTCCTTTTGTAATATAATTAAACACAGAAATGCCTTTAGAAGATTATATATAATTTGTAGGTATGCAGCAGAGACATAAAACATTGTTTCAATATGTATTAAGAGAGTCTACACTCTACAGTCCCTTTAATTATATATAATTTTCTAAATTTCTCGTTTAGCCTCAGATGTTAACTGGGATTGATCACAGTCCCAAAACTTTAAACGTTCAAGATTACACTTAATTATGATTGAATTTTTGTTTCTAAAATCAATTTGAAAAAAAAACATTGCAATTTAAGATCTAAGACACAAAAATCCAACCATATTATCGTAAAATAAAAATCTATCATCTATATTTCTGTATTCCTTTAGATAAAGCTCACAGTATTTAATTGTTGGAATTGCTACTTGCGATGTACTTTCAGATTTGTATAAAGGTGACCAATATCTAATTATTCCGCCAGAAGTAACAAAAAATAAGTGCCCCCTGGAATTGACATTTATGGTTACCAATCCTGTAGTGTCCTTATTGCAATCTTTGTCTGTATCCAGATTTTTTTCAAAACTAGATGAGCCTTTCATTGCAGTAGATCTTAAAATTTGATCAGTGCCAGTGGCTTCCCCTACAGTTTCAGATGTAACCTTGATTTTTTCTGAGATTTTTTCTAGAAAATCGTTCTTCTTCTTTCTATCAGAGATAGTGTAAGCATCAACATTACACCCTGCATACTTCAAGAAACCACGCAAATCCACTGGAATACCTGAAAGCATTATATAATAATATTTATATAATATATAATGAATATAAGTACATTGCACAGTATAATATTTTACATAAAAGCAAAGAATGAAAATTATAGAATATTTGAATCCTTACCTAATTTAATTATTTGTTCTCCACAATCATTAAAAAAAGCTGAGCCAGGCTTGGGGCTATTAGTGCAGTTCCGAGGATATTTGTCTGTAGCAATGTTTACATCCTTCCTTGGTCTAACAGCTGAGCACGTTTTGTATCTAAAAAGTAAATACTTTAGACTATGAATATTTATAAGGTTTTAACATACATACCTTATCTTCCAAATGGCTGACAAGTATGGTCATACAGTTTATTTCTTCTTGATGTATCTGCTTTGTCCATAAACGAATTAAAAGACTCTGCTTGAGATCCAAAGAAGGTGAAGTCAGAGGAACTTTCACAATATTCTTCTTCTATGAGAAAAATGCATCCTATGCAGCCGTATATAAACTTGTATGTATTTTCCTATACAAGTTTATGCATCTATGCATCCTATGCAGCCGTATATAAACTTGTATGTATTTTCCTATACAAGTCTATGCATCTATGCATCTATGCATCCTATGCAGTCGTATATAAACTTGTATATATTTTCCTATACAAGTCTATGCATCTATGCATCCTATGCAGCCGTATATAAACTTCTATATATTTTCTTATACTAGTCTATGCATCTATGCATCCTATGCAGCCGTATATAAACTTGTATATATTTTCATATATAAGTCTATGCATCTATGCATCCTATGCAGCCGTATATAAACTTGTATATATTTTCCTATACAAGTCTATGCATCTATGCATCCTATGCAGCCGTATATAAACTTGTATATATTTCTTATATAAGTCTATGCATCTATGCATCCTATGCAGCCGTTTATAAACTTGTATATATTTTCTTATATAAGTCTATGCATCTATACATCTATACATCCTATGCAGCCATATATAAACTTGTATATATTTTCTTATATAAGTCTATGCATCTATGTATCTATGCATCCTATGCAAATTATAAAACTCGTTTTTAACTCCAATGGTCTCATATCGTGCCTGGTGTGAATTTAAATAGTTCAATGAGCATAAGACATGGCAATTGTGCAGTGTTAACAACCCATTTAACTTTAGAAGTGTTTTGAGTAAGTTAAAATTAAAACTTTTTGCTTTGTAACAACATCAAATACACTTTTGAAAAGGTCAAAACCTTCATCATCTAAATATTAGAAATGGTTGGCAAAGCTCTCTGTAAAGAAATGATAGTTTTAAAAATGGAAAGAACTATTAGTTATCGCTTTCTCTTCAAATGATTTTTGAATTGAAACAAAATAACTATACATATATTTTTGATGAAAATTTACATAAACATTTAAGCAGTTTCCAGTATTTTTAGTTCTTTTTACAAACTTTTCACAACACATTTTAATGGATCCTAAGAATTTTCAACTTCACATTAAATTTTTTTCAGGGATGAAATGGAAGGACCTTTCACCTAAATGTTGAACTATTATTAGTTATCACTTACTCTTCAAAAGTTTTTGGAATTGAAACAAAATAACTATACATATATTTTTGATGATAATTTACATAAACATGTATGCAGTTTCAAGTAATTTTAGCTTATTTTACAAACTATATTACAAGACATTTTAATGGATCCTAAGAATTTTAAACTTCAAATATAAAATTCATATCTTTTCTTAAATTAAATTTTTGGGTCCTTCAATTTAATTGCTTTTGGTTTATTCCATATTTGCTGGTCATTTTTTTAGTTTATTACTTAATAAAATATTTAAAAGGAAATACCTTTTGATCATTTACAACAATTAAATGGTGTCAAGCTCAAAGCAAGTAACATCATATCATATTACATTGAAGTAAAAACTAGTAATTAAACGAACATGTTAATGGTGGAAAGTCTACAATATTAAGAGAGTGAGTGATCAGATTATTGTTCATTAGTCAATCTTTCTAGATTTTTCTTTTAAATGTCCTCAATAATAGTATCTCAGTTCTTGAAGTATACTTAGTATAGAGATTGGTTTCCTCCACCTTAAAGAGGCTGTCAGTGTAATTTCAAGTGACCCTCCATGCAAAGATGGCAATTCTGCAATGTTTGAATCTAAACGATACCCTTGATAATAAATGTGACAAAATAGTTAAAAGAAACAAGAACATAGAAATCTTATTCATACTAGATCAGACATGGGTACCATTGTAAATTGAACTTTTTCACATTTGCATGGAGGACCTCTTGAAATTATCCTTGCTGTCAATTTAAGCAACTGTAGAGACCCTGTTCTCTCTTCCAAATATTTGCCTTGAAGTAAAAGATGAAAATTCAAGATTATCTCTTTTGATTCTCAGAACTTGCTTGAAGTGGTTCCATGCACTCTCATTCTTGGCAAATAAGAGCTGAACACTCACTACGATGTAGCAAACTAACAAGGGCTGGCTTTTTTGCCTGTTACATGGAGGGACTAGAGTTTGTATTCCGATCAAAGCCAGAATAAGCAGTGCCAACACAAGTGATCCAACAATCAGTTTCTTTAGGCTGATCAGATTCTGTTGAGGAGAAGCAATCTCACGACGGATTATCAGAGCATGCTTGTTCTTCAGATACAGAGTGTTGAAGGTATAGGCAAATACTGTGCCAGTTACTGCAAGCATGATGTTTACAGCATTTATGTACAAGGCAACATCATGCCCAGAGGATGGTTTTAATCCAACGAGGTATCCAACGTAAGAAGACATGAACCCTAAACAATGGATTATGATTTCAAATAATAAACAAAATAATTTTACCAGAGCAAGGTAGCATCCAAATATTAACTATTTTACACCTGTTTTGAAATCTACTACTGTGTTGATGATGGTAGTGGGTATGTAGATAAGTTGGACTGCCAGAAACAGTTGTTTAGCCGTTTGCTCTGGTTCTAGTTCCATCATTCTGTCAAACTGAAATATTGCTAAATCTTGATAATATAATAATTAAGACACTGTCATACCTGGATGAGAAAGTTTTGATTTAATTCTTACACAACAATTTTGTAATAAATAACCTTTAGAACCATAAGCATCCTGAGGGCAGCCTGGACTATGTTCAGACCTACCATGTTGAATGCAATCCAATGTAAACTTTTCATTACTAAAGTTCCTAGAAACAGTGGTAGTTTACAGATGATTGATACCCACATGCCACTGAGAGCCTACAAAAAAAAATCAATATCATACTTCTCTTTAAATCGATGTTATTTCAGTAACATAAAATGATTGAGCATCAATTATCAATTAATCATTTAGTTTCTTTTTAACATTTTTCAAAGTTGATTGTAAAAACTTACAGATAGAGATAAAAACAAATTGAACATCTCCACTATGTAGTAGTTGATGATAAAGATAATGTTTATCTTGGCAAATGGAACAGAGTTCCTGTAGAGTCTGATAACACCAGCTGACAGGTTTGAAAAGAGAGAGGGAATGAGGAAAGCCAATGCCATGAAAGGATCCAGGGTAAAGCTAAAGGACAGAATTACAGAATTAGTAAATTATTTAATATCATTACAATTGTAGACAAGGGTTTCTGATTTATTCCGGATCAATGTGGATCTGTAAAGGCCTCACTGAACCTTTTTTTGAAGCTATTGAAAATGCAAAACTATTAAAAACATTTGGAAATAAATTTTTTTTTTCACCATAACACACCAAGCAGTGTATTGCATTTATGGGGAGATTTTTGAAAAATTTTGGTTTAATAAATTATCACTATTTTAGCTTCAGGAAAGGTTCACATAGGTCTTTTTGGAGAAAAATTGATTAAAAAATCTTGGAAACTCTGTGATTGGGAATGGATCACTTTTCTGAAAATTGAACTTTTGAATTGGATACCCTTAATCCTGATCACATGTGCTAAATTAAAATATCCAATGTGGACACTTTTAATTTCCTGCTTAATCTGCTTTAAAATGTTCCTACCAGTTTCCGTCCAATGAAAGTTCTCTCATTGAATGCATGGCAGTCAAAACTTTTAATTTATGTATATATATAGGATACTCCATTGGTTGAATTGCATACCCTTTTCTGGATACAAAACAGAGATTAAATTGATCTTGTTATTAATAAAAGACAGAGATCAGGCATTGATTTCAATATCAACAACTCTGACGTTTTTCAGCTCAGATCATTTAAAAATTGCGGAAGCAGAGTTATTAGTTTCTGTTTGACCTTTTGTTAAAAACAGATATAGTAAAAAACTTCCCTTCATCTTCAAATAAATTAAATACAACCATGAAGCAGACACTGAACAAAAAGGGATCTGAACTTATTATGAAGTAGTTTTAAGAAAATGTCGAGATACTTTAACTCATTACTTGTTTTTATGGAATTATCCCTTATGGCCATGTCTTCTTCCTCAATTTTAGATCATAAAACCCTTGTATCAGAAACCTTTGTAAGACTACATTTTTCCATCATTTTTAAAAGTGATAAGCAACCCTATCTGTGATCTTTTTACCTTTCAAGACTGCAGACATCAATGGCTTCTTCACTTGATTTATTTGAGGAGTTCATTTTGTTAGAGGGAACTAAAATAGGATTATTAAAACAGGACTAGTGTAGATTGTACACTGGTACAGTACTTTTACAGTTTCTGCTAAAATAAAAGTACAGCAGAAACTAGTTGCAATACCATAGCATATGTACAGAATTTAGGTACTTTATATCACAACATACAAATCAAGTAATTTACCTAGGGCCATAGTGGGTCATAGGGGACAGTATTATTTAAAGCTTAATAAAACTCTGCTTCAAACATCTTGCTCTGAGAGACTGAAATGGATTTTAAATGAAACCCGGTAAAAAAAAATATTGTAAATATAATAAAGGTTCAAGAAAGAATTCGAGAAATTATCATAAAATGGACAAATTCTGACATTGTCAATTGAAAAGAACAAAAAATCTGAATATATATGTAAGTTTATTATATTGGAGCCAACAATTGGCTCTAGGGGGTGCACAGGGGTACTGGCCCATCCCCCCACTATGCCCCTGAGTTTACCACTTTTTAATTGACAAAATATTGGCAAAAAAAAAAGTGTTCTTGCAAAAGAATCAAAGAGTTTAGGACATTGTTCAAAGGACTTATTTCTTATTTTACCTGTGAATCTTAAAAAATGTTCCCAATCCCAAATATTATAGCAATTTTAGATTCTATAAGGGTTAACAATCATTTTAAGGAGCAAAAATACTAAATTTCCATTTGTGAATAATCATTTTGATCTAAAATTAAAACTTTAAACTGTAAATTGGTAAGATTGGTTTAATTTATAGTTCAATAATTATGACTTTATTGCATATTTAATCAGCTTGGTCAGATTTTCAATTATCATATAATTTCACAACGCACATGATACTGACTTTTACCCAGATGGAGAAAGCTGTACAGTACATTTACAGTAAAGTAAACTGGGACGGTGCGGTGAAGGAATGACCCCTTCCAGTGAAATCTATGTGAGATGATGCTAATGTCATCACTAAATTTAAATCCATATTGGTACACAGTGGTAGGTACTTTCCCAAAGGATTTTTTCCCGAGTGTCAACTTCCCAAATGTGAAAATTGCCAAGCAGCAACTTCCCAAATTAAGGTTAGGTTAGGCCCTCTGAGTCGCTGCAGGCGACAATGGTAGCTAAGCTAAGGAGCCTGTTCTAAGCTAAGGAACTTGTTCTAGCTGCGGCTAGGATGGGCTAAGGAGCCAATTGCGTCGCAGCTAGAACAGGTTGAGGCAGACTTTGGAAGTTCCCACTTGGAAAATTGCACATTTAGGAAGTTGCCATTTGTGAAAATACTCTTGGGAAGTTACCACTTGGGAAAAATCCTTTGGGCAAGTACCTAACATCTCAGGACACCTAGGGCTGGGAGCCATTCCTGGGAAGAATGGATCGGAATGGAAGGGAACACAACCAAATAACAGTGCTAGGGGAGAAAAACCAGAGGAGGGGGGGGCGTCAAATGCCCCCTCCTCAAGTCCTTAAAATCTATTTTTAGGCCTAAAACAGGTTTTTGGACAAATATCCATCCTAACGGTTAGAGATTCAAAAAAGACATAATCATAATTTGTCATATTTTGATCAAAATAAAAATTGCTTCTTAAATAAATTAATCAAATCTTATCCCTTTTAAAACCAGTTTTTGTTTGCAAAATATTGATATGACAGAAAAACATATTTTCTAAAAGACATTTTAAAATACAATAAACATATATTATTTTGGGTTGACTAAATTGTTTTCTAATTCGAGTTCAGCAGGGAATTTACAAGAAAATGAAATCTTTGACATGTAATCTTTTGAAATATTATTTTGAATGTCTAAAATGATTTCTCTGACATAAAACGTCAGATTCCATGCAATTCCTACTTCCCACAATAGTCCAGGGTTATTTTAAATTGAAACTGGGGATCAAATTTAGTTAAAAACCAGGGATAACAAAATCAAATCCAGAGGTTTGTAGTGTTTATTACTTTCTGAACTTTCTTGTGATACTTAAATAAAAAAGTGGATGAAATGAACTTAAAATTTGGCATTATCGGAAGAAAATGGTCAGTTCTTCGTCATTTCTATCCAATTTTTGGTAAGATATTGTCTGTTTGATAGCTAAAGCCATTTGTATTTTGTATCCCTATTAACAAAATATATAAGTGACTATTCAACCATCTTCTCTTAAAATATCAGATAGCTCTGTTGAGGTTTGAACCATAAAAATGTCGGAGAACAGATAACACAAAGAGAACACTGCTTCGCTTTTTATTTGATGTTGGGAGGCTAGCTGGCAGAGCAAGGTTGGAGGGACTCACTCTTATCTCCATGGATTCAGAAAATTCTGCATGTAAACAAAATTTGAAACCTGAGAGAAGATAAATGTAAACCCGAACATAAAACGATTGCTTTAAAATGCAAATTTTTTGGGGTTACTTTCACTTTTTATTTCCTTATGGGTGCAAATTTTGAATTGTACCATAACAGAAAATGTTTGCAGAATACAGATTTAAAATGTTGGAACCTGCGCAGATTATTATTGTACCTTTTGTGAGGTTCTTTGACATTAGAGTTGGAATTCATTGTAATATCAGTCAGAGAAAATCTTTCTGTGAATTAATAATCTTGTAAAGCAAACAATAGTTAAAAAAAACCCAAAAAAAAAACTATCCAAAAAGGTTTTTTTTGCTGACTGAAACAACTGGTGAAATATTACAATTGACATGGTCATTGTTTACACAACTCTAACATAAGGGGTTAACAATAGCCAACCCCAACATCAGGTGTTAACAATGATCAATTACAATATCAGGTGTTAACAATGGCCAACTCCAACATGAGGTGTTAAAAATAAACAACTCTAACATGAGGTGTAAACAATGACCAACTCAACATGAAGTGTTAACAATGACCAACTCCAACATGATGTGTTAACAATGACCAACTCTAACATAAGGTATAAACAATGACCAACTCCAATATGAGATGTTGAAAATGTGACTAACTCCAACAAGGTGTTAACAATGTGAACAACTCCAACATGAGGTGTTAACAATGACCAACTCCAATATGAGGTGTTGAAAATGTGACTAACTCCAACAAGGTGTTAACAATGTGACCAATTCCAACATTAAGTGTTAACAATATGACAAACTCCAACATGAGGCGTTAACAATGTGACCAACTCCAACATGAGGTGCTAAGAATGACCAACTTCAACAAGAGGTGTAATGAACAACTCCATCACAAGGTGTTCACAATTTGAATAACTGCAACATAAGGTGTTCACAATGACCAACTCAAACATGAGGTGTAAACAATGACAAACTCCAGCATGAGGTTTTAACAATGTGACCAACTCCAAGAGGTGTTAACAATGTGACCAACTCCAAAATGAGGTGTAAACAATGTAACCAACTCCAACACAAGGTGTCAACAATTTGACAAACTCCAACATGAGGTGTTAACAATGACCAACTTCAACATGAGGTGTTAACAAAGTGACCAACTCCAACATGAGTTGTAAACAATGACCAACTCCAACATGAGGTGTAAATAATGACCAACTCCAACATGATGTGTAAACAATGACTAACTCCAACATGAGGTATAAACAATGACCAACATCAACATGAGGTGTTAACAATGTGACCAACTCCAACATGAGGTG